AGGCAGTAAAGAGCCCACCCATAGCGGGGAGCATCTCCTCTGGTTAGTAGAAGCAGTGGTGCTGGAGTACAAGGCACCAGCCTCTTCTTAGGAGTCAGGGCAGGGGGTGGGGAAGCAGAGGAGGGCAAGACCCTAAGAGGTGGAGGAGTGGCTGGAGGAGAAGTTTCTCAGGGACCCTCTGGGACAAAGACCTGAGTCTTTCTGCAGCACCAAGTGACACCTGCTCATGGCTGATGCTACTTCTAGACCTCAGATCTGTAGACACCCTTCCCTTTTCTGCATCAGGTAAAGAGTGAGATACCCCAGCCCCTCTGTCATCCTCAGACCTGTTTTACTCCCTAATGCTTCCAACAATTAGAAGGTGGTAGATCCCGCCTCAAGGCTCTGACCCTCTTTATGTGGGCATAGGAGGATCTTGGGAGACTCAGGCAGGAGCCTTAGCTAAGCAGGCTTCCCTCAGGGCAGGGAGGTGGGGAGTGGGGGGGTGGCAACCCAGAGGCAGGCAGCCTCTCCCCCCAGCGTCCCTTTCCTCGGCACTGCCTGCTCTCCCAGCCTCTGCTGCATCCTGAGCTGGCCTCTAGGCCCTCAGAGCCTGAGTGAGATTCCAGAAGCCCTGAGCACAGGCTGTGCCACCCCTCCAACTCCAGAACAAAAGCCTCTTCCACCTCTCCATGAGGCAGGAGTGGTGGTTGGGGCCTCTGCCCTTACCACATACCCTTGAAGGGCAGAGAAACAGGCACATCTGCACCTTGGGGTCTGGGCTCCCCTGTCTGTGCTGGTTACTTCCCAGTGCCTGGGGAGGGGCTATGGCCCTGGCTAGACCGCAGGCCTGTCCTCTTAGCTGTCCACTCTGGGAGAGGGACTCAAAACCCCATTCCTTCTGAGTACTTTCTTTCATCGCCCCATCTGGGACCACCCTCTCTTGGTCCCTAGGCTCCTAAGCACCCTGGAGCAAGAGGGAGGGTCTCCCTAGAAGCACCCCCTCAGCTCTGGGGGCCTAGCCCTACTGTCAGTGCTGGTATCAGGGCACTCAACACCCAGCGTGGAGGACACACCCCTTGTGTGCCCACGGCCTCCTCCTGTAGCCCCCTGCCCATACCCTCGATGCTGCACTGGCCTGCCCCAGCAGGGTTCAGTGAGTGATGTGTTTTGCCCCCAGTTAACCACCATTCTGCAGCCTGGTTCTGTAAAGAGCCAAGGCTGCCCTGCTACCCACCACCTGCCACCCTAGGCTTCCTGACTCCATTAGTTCCGACACTTGTGAGTCTCCGAGAAGTGCTGCGGTCTCAGCAATGCACCTGTTTTGTACATGATTGTGTAATTTAAAGGTATATAAATATAAATATATATATATATAAGTTGTGATTGTACAACTGTGGATAAAATCCAGAACTGTGTCAACCTGGTTGGACTTTGTCATCTTGAGTCTTGTGCATCTTCAGTCCTCGTGGTTTCCTAGCCTTCGGAGAGCTACTTGTGGCTGGGATGTCTGTCAGGGACTGGGTGCTGTCCTGGCTGACTACCCATGGACTAGGTGACCAAGGCCAGGCCCCTTGCCTCCCAGGGCCCTGGGTCCTGTCTGTATGGGAAAGAGTTATACTTGGGGCTTCAGTGACTGGCTTTTCAGCATTCTGGGTGCCTAGTGACAAGTATTGGCCCAAAGAGCTGGGGGCCTGCTAGGTCCCAAACTTATCATTCAAGGGTAAATGTGACCCACAAATAGGTTTTGATTTTTAAAGCAAAAGTCTAAAACTGACTGCTGAGCCATGTGGTTCCTGGTTGTCCACAGTGCCACGGCTGGCTCATTACAGTATAACATCAGGCTGCGCTACACCTTCCTGCATCCTGCCTGACCTTTGAAGGAATTTCTGTGTGGGAACCCTAGGAGAGCCCCCCCAGGACAACTTCTCAAGGGACTGAGTGGGATCAGAGCTCTGGTCTCTCCACTCTGTTCAGCCAGGCCCAGGTTCAGGCCTTGCCCTGGCTTCAGCCCCTACCCTGACCCCTACCTATGCACAAAAGCCTTGTCCAGGTCTCACCCAGCCTGCCCTGCCTCAGCCCACTCCTCTCCTAGCCCCTGCCTCAACCTCAGCCCCTGTTCCAGCTTTGTGCCAGCTGTAGCCCCTGCCTTGACCTCCACCAGCACCAGCTGAATTTCTACTGCGAGAGGGCAGCAGTCCCAGGTCCAGCCCTGGCTCTGCTATCAGTTCACTGTGAGGCCACCCCTTCCCATCCTAGATCTCTAATATGGTTAGATGTCTCTCTGGCTAGATGTTTCTCTGAGGCACCCTGGCAGGGCCCTGACATAAACCTATGACTCAAAGCAAGTACAGGACAGTTACCCACCCTGAGTGTGCTTGGGGCAGGGAAGAATGGTTCTGATGGGGACTGAATACATTCACCACCCACTTGTCACTTCTTGTTTTTAAGTGCCAGTTGAATTGATTCCGACTCAGCCAACTAACGTGATACAGAATTACCTCATAGGATTTTCTAGGGTGTAATCTGTATGGGAGCAGATAGCCAGGTCTTTCTCCTGCAGAGCTGCTGGGTGGGTTAGAACTGCCCACCTTTTAGTTAGCAGCCAAACACTTAACCATTGATCCACCAGGGCTCCATCTCACTTACCTGCCTCAATACCCACCTCCATTTGAACGTTTGCTTCTAGCCAAACAGAGGAATCTTCAAATAAAGACAAAAAGCTGTCTTATCATGCAAGGTGTTCCATTTAGTTATGGGGAGCCCTGGATGTAGGGGTCCGTGAGGAGTGCAAGGAAGATATATGCCAGTAGGTTTCTGACAGGGAAGTGTAAAAGAGGAAGGGGAATTCACAGTTTGCTGTCAGTATACAAGCTGTCACTGGATGAGTGTGTGCTTACCAAGGGAACAAGTGCAACCAATCCACTCACTCAGGGAGCTACCTCACCTGACCCCCCCCATACCTGAAAGTACATAGTGTCTCCAGTTCCCACTCCATATCCTTAATCCCCTCCCCTCCCCTTCACCCTCCCCTTCTCCCTTCCAGCCCTCCCTCCCAGCCTCTCTAGGCCCAGGCCCAGCTGCGGTCCTGCAAGCCTATGGCTTCAGGGACTCAACTGGGGGTAGAGCTGGCAGGTTGGAGACAAAACCAGTTTAGCAGAGCCATGCCAGGGATTGGCTGGGGTCCAGTCTGCCCCCTCCCCCGGCATGGGCTGACAGCAGGGGCCCAGTGAGGCATAGGCCTGGGCCAGGACTCCCACCCCCACCCTGGTCCAGTCCCACTAACAGATGCCAAGGTGCTGTTTGCTCACTGCCAGAAGTAAACTTTCTTCTGGAGACAATAAAACTGCTGGAGGCAGAAGAAGGCAGCACAGGACAAGGTTTAACCCTTGGTGGTCTGGGGCACTGGCTGTCCCTTCTGTCTCCCGGAAACCTGTCCTCAGAATCCCAGGGTTGCGGAGCACAAAGGTGCTGTCCGGTCACCAAGTAGGGGGTATGGTATGGAGAAGCAGAGAGCACCCTGTCCTTGGGGGAGAGACAGATGTGGGTACAGTTCCTGGTTCTGCCTCAGGTTGGCTGTGTGACTCTGAGAAAGTCACTTAACCTCTCCCAGCCTCAGTTTCATCATCTGCAAAATGGAAGACTAACCCCTACCTCACGGTTTTATTGGGATGGTTAACGACAGAAAAGCAGTAAAAGCATCTGACACATAGACTCTCAGGACATGCGAGTTGGGAGGTAAGTGCAATAAGTTCAAGGTGTTTGGGTTGGGGGAGGGAAGCACAAGGAAGCTTTGAGGTGCTTTGCCTAGGAGAGTGGGTGGTGGGTCCCCATCTCATCCAGCTCACACACATACACACTGGTGGCACACACCCCTCCCACATCACGTGCTCACACACTCTCACACCCCACACGGGACTCACAGCTCCACAGATAGCACCACTGAGGCCCCAAACATGCCAACCTTTCTTTCACCCTGTCCTGCTGCCTCAGGAGGGGGCCTGAAGCATCCATCCTTCTCCAGACCACTCCGATGGTCCATCCCAGAGCATCACCACTGACTGCAGGTCCAGTTCCCTAGGTTAGCAACCAGGGACTAGAGCTCTGTGGCACCTCAAAGGAAGGTCAGCCCCTTGGCTTGCTGGCACAAAATCCCAACCCCCAACAGGGGAGGAGGAAGTAGACCATTATTCTCCAATTCTACATGCTCTACCCCCTTTAGCCTCACCCCCATCTCCCCGAACCAAGGGTCCAGCCTCTCCTTGGCCTTGAGGACTCATTGCCTCTCTTCCCCAAGCTCCTATCAATTAACTGTCCTTTTCTGTTCAGGCTCAGCTCAATGTCACCTCCCCCAAGCAGCCTTCCTGGACCACCGCAAGCCCCTGTGACCATACCACTTTGACCACTGATGGCCTCCAGCTGTGCCAGTCACAGCATAGACACTGGGGACATACATAGCAGTTCTTTAGTATCTTTATTATCCATTCATGTGGAAACTCCAGCTCCCCAACTCAGGGGCGCAAATTTCTCCTGGCACCATACCAGGCAGGTGAAGAATGAATGTCAGTGGGATGTAGCAGAGAGAGTACTGGACTTTGAATAAGGACACCCGGCTTGGCCATGAACAGGACGAGTGACCTTGGCCGGGCCACTGCCGTCCTGTAGGCTTTTGGCTGTGCTCAGGCAATTCTGGGATCAGAGGCTGAGGCTGGAGGGAAATCTTTCCCTGGTGAACAGTGAACACTGAGAACAGCCCTGGTTACCCTGTCCTCCGTGGGGCCACCCCACTACATGGGCAGGTGAGCTATCAGGACTGAGGGGGAAGCATACCCACCCCAGAGTCTCTGGCTCCAGAGAGCACTCTTACACCCCTGGGAGCATAGGCTGTCCCCTCCCTGGCCCTGGACACACCGGCAGATGCCCTCTCCATCCCTGCTCTGGGTCTGGCCAAGGCAGGGTAGGCAGGAGGGAGGCCTAGCATGGGTGGATTTCCAGGGAGGCCCTGGGCCCACACACAGCCCTCAGATGGGATGCACAAACTGGTAGACCAGGCGCTGGGAGATGTCCGGCTTCCGGATGATGCCCTTCTTGTAATACTGGCGGATGGAGCGGCTCAGTTTGTCGTAGTTCATGGCGGGACGGTTCTTGCGGATGCCCCACAGCCGTGCCACCTGGGCCGAGTCCTCGATTTTGAAGATGCCTTCAGGAGCAGGAGGGTGCAAGCAGGGAAGGGGGGATGATAGGAGGGAGAAAGACCAAGACTGACAGGTCAGTCTCATGAGAACCAAGGGAACCTGTGCTAGTGTGGCCTCCCTCTGCTCAGGGCTGGGGCTAGGCTGTGGGGTGAGATGGAGGACAAAGTTGAAACATCTCCCCCTGAGGGCATCCTGCTATCATGGCCCAGTGTTATGGGTTGAATTGTGTCCCTCAAAAAATAAATATGTGTTTTAAATCCTAACCTCTATGCCTGTGGTTATAAATCCCATTTGGAAATGGGTTGTCTTTGTTATGTTAGTGAGGTAGGATTAGTGTGGCATGTATCTCAAATCAATCTCTTTTGAGATATAAAAGAGATTAAATGCAAACTAGAGAAGAGATAGGGTAAGATAGATGCTAAGACACATAGAGATCTCCAAGGAACCAGGAGACAGAAGCTGAAGACACAGTGACCTTCCCACAGAGCTGATAAAGAGCTAGCCTTCCCTTAAAGCCAGCACCCTGAAATTGGAGTTCTAGTTTCTAAACTGTGAGAAAATAAATTCCTGTTTATTAACGGCATCTCTTTGTAGTATTTCTTGTAGTATTTGTAGCTTGTTGTTGTTGTTATATGCCATCGAGTCGCACCCGACTCATAGCCACCCCTCCTTGGGTTTCCGAGGCAGTATCACTACAGATTGCCCCATCTTCCTTCTGAGGAGTGGCTGGTGGGTTTGAACCACCAGCCTTCTGGTTAGCAGTCAAGTGCCTTAGGCACTATGCTACCAGAGCTCCCTTCTTTATAGCAGCACTACGTAACTAAGACAGAATCTGGTACCAGAGGAGTGGGCTGTTTCTCTAATAGATACCTAAAGTGTGGAAGCAGTTCTGTAATTGGGTAATATGTACATAGAGGCTGAAAGAGTTTTAAGGTGCCTAATAGTGAAAAACAAGGGGCTCTGGTGGCATAATGGATAAGGCATCTGGCTGCTACCCAGAAGGTCAGCGGTTCAAACCCACCAGCAGCTCCGCGGAAGGAAGATGGGGCAATCTACTTCTGTAAATCCAATGGGGGTCGCTATGAGTTGGAATCAACTTGACGGCAGTGAATTTTTTTTTTTTTTTTTTAATAGTAAAAACCTAGATTACCTTGAAGAGATTGTTGGTAGAATTATGGATGTCAAAGACAATTCTGGTAAGGGCTCAGAAGGAAGTGAGGACAAAAATCTCTATCATCTTAGAGAATACACATGGCATCAACAACAGAATGCTGCTAGAAATGTGAGCATTAAGTGTGCTTCTGGCGAGGTCTTAAAAGAAAATGATGAACATGTGATAGAACAATGGTGGAAGGTTGATTTTTTTATGCAGTGTTAAAAGAACTTATCTGAATTATGTTCAAATGTCTGGTGGAAAGTAGAAATTGTAGGTAATGAACTTGGATATCTAACTGATGAGATTTCTGAGCAAGATCTTATAAATATATATATATATATATATATGTTGTGTGCTATCAAGTGGATTCCAACTCACAGCAACCCTATAGGACAGAGTAGAACTGGTTCCTCCTTGCCACTTATAGTAAAACGTGAGAAGAAAGCAATGGACTTAAAAATGAAACGTGCAAAATGAAAACAGAGCTTAAAGATTTGGAAAATTCTGTTGGACAAACTAAGGACACATGTCCTAGAATGTTCACCAAAGACGTGGGTACACAGTATCTTTTGTTAGAGATTAAGCCTGTGACTGATGGATCTAACCAACTACCACAGAAGAAAACCCATCAGCTTAGACTAAAGGGGACAGTGAAAGAACAAAAGGAAAGACTTGTTTGCCTCTTGGAACTCTACAGGTAGGAAACAGGCCAAAGGAGCTGTAACTGTTGTGCTTCAAGAAAAGCAAAAGACCATCCCTGGAGCAATTGGAGATCAGCAGAACTGCTGGAGGGAGCACAGGAAGCAGAGCCTTCTTGATTTCAAAGGGTGGGGCACAGTCTCTGGGTCTCCGTGGGGCCACAGCCTCTAAGGTTTCAAAGAGTAGAATCTTTACCGACTTAGTTCTGGAGTGGGGGGCTGCCATTAAGACGTGCCAGGGGAATGGGGCCCTTGTCCAAAGCTGAGAGGATGGGGCTGCCTGCCCAAGAGGCAGAAGAATGGGGCCTTTTAGGGCCAAAGGGGTAAGGTTGCCACTGAGATGGACTAGGAGAATGGGGCTGCCCAAAGCCAAGGGAACAGAGTTGCCAACCCTGGAAGGTGTGAGCTGAAGAAGCCCAGGGCTGAGGGTCTTCCACCCAAAATCCAGAGGGTGTGGCCAAAGCCCGGATTCTGGAGGGTGAGGCCATTGCCTAGATGGTCTCAGAGAAGAGAGGATTGATTTTAAGCCTTGAAGAGCTAGTATAAATTGTTCTGCTGGGTTTTGGACTTACTTGGTGCCCATTATCCCTTCTTTTCCTCTAGTTTGTTCCATTTGTAATGGAAATGTCAGTCTTGTGCCTGTTCCACCGTTGTTCCACCATTGTTGGAAACAGACAACTTCTAGTCTAGGTTTCACAGTTTCACAGATGAAAAGGAATTTTGCCCCAGGATGGAATAAGCCTAAAGTCTCACCTATATTTGACTAAGATGATTCATATGATGAGCTTTTGGAGTTGGAGTTGATTTAAGACTTTTGGGAAGATGTGATGGGATGAATGTGTTTTGCATGTAGCAAGGACATGAATTTGGGGGGGGGAGCAAAAGGGTGGAATGTTATGGATTGAATTGTGTCCCCCCAAAATATGTGCTGTAAATCCTAATCGCTATGCCTGTAGTTATAAGCCCATTTGGGAATGGGATGTCTTTGTTATGTTAATGAGGTAGGATTCATGTAGGGTTATCTTGAGTCCATCTCTTTTGAGAGATAAAAGAAATGAAATGCAAGGTAGAGAAGAGATGGGGTGAGAGAGATGCCAAGACACATGGAGATGTCCAAGGAACCAGGAAGTAGAAGCTGAAGAAACAAGGACCTTCTTCCAAAGCTGACACAAAAAGCCTTCCCCTAGAGCCAGCACCCTAAATTTGGACTTCTAGCTTCCCAAACTATGAGAACATACATTTTGTTTGTTAAAGCCACAGCACTAGATAACTAAGACAGCTGGGATACTCTGAGACCTCAAACTATCATACCCACTCCCTCCTGCCACTGCCTGGGGCAGGCCCTTACCATCCGGCCTGGAGGCTGCTGGTCCAGCTGCCCATCTGGATTTGTACCTCACCTCTGCCCTCTCCAAGTCATCCTTCACACACTACTTCCACCCAGCCCTTCGCAGTGTGGGCAGAGTGACTAGACCCGATGGCCTGGGCTTGAAGGCCGAGTCCCTGACTCCCAAGCTGTGTGATCTTTGGGTAACAGAGTTAACCTGAGCCTCTGTTTTCCCATCGACAAAATGGGGACCATAATACCTATTCCCATGGTTGTGGTGAGGGTAAAGAAATGTGTGCAAAGCATGCACTACTGTTGTTGTTGTTAAGTGCCGTCAAGTCGTTTCCAACTCATAGCGACCCCACGCACAGCAGAACGAAACACTGCCCGATCCCGCGCCAGCCCCACAATCCTTGCTATACTTGAGCCCATCATCGCAGCCA